TAAATAGGGATAATTTTTAATGATTTTAATAATGTCACAGCTACAAATATTTGGTTTTAATTGGCTTTTATAGGGGAAATGTTGTGTGTGTTGTTTGTATTGTGTTATTTTAATATGCTGTGAGCCGCCCTGAGTCCCGTGGGGAGAAGGGCGGCATATAAATTATGAAAAATAAAATAAATAAATAAATAAATAAATGCCTTGTCAGCAGCTGAAAGAAAGAGATGGTGAAGGTCAGTTGGAGGCGCCAGGGTCTAGGGAGGCAGGATGGTCGGAGCATCTGGTGCTTTGCACTGTACTACTGGAGCTGCTGATTGTGCCATGGGCTTCTCAGCAGCAGGAGTGGACTGGTGATGCTGGAGCAGAAGTTATGAGGTCTGGGGGCAACAATGGCTGGCTGAGACTGCCAGGCATCTAATTCAGGCCCCAGACTTCTAATTCAGCCTTTCATCACTGCCAAGGAGTGCTGCTGTGCAGGTTGGCCAGAAGGACAGAGATGGGAGAGTTCAAGAGGAGACAGTTCCTTATCTTGCTGAAGCTCTGGACTGAGAGGAACCAAGACAGGAATGGCTTAAATTAGTATGATCCTTGAATTGTGGCTGGTTGGATTCGGTTAACAATGACAATGGGGACTGCTGGCATTCATATCGCTAATCATTGTGGTTGTGCTTTATGACTACATTGCTTAGCAATTGGAAATTCAGGTTCCAATTACCATCATAACCTGAGGACTACCAGAATCTACAAAAATGTTTTTATACCAAATATTAATGCTGTTTATGAATTGGTTCCATTTGACACGCAACATGTTTTGCTTTGTACTTAACCATTGCAGTTGGTACAACAAGAATATCAGCAGAACCAAAGCAGAAGCAATGCTCAGGGAAGAGGTAAGGTAAATCCCTTTAGGTAGTACTCACATTTTACCGTACTTAAATCAATTCTTGCTTCATCTACTTGGGCATATAGGAAACTAACATTCAGTGATGTAATGAAGAAATCGAGTAGTAGTTTTGAATTGAAGTGGTTAAAAACGTTTAATTAGAATTGGTTGGTTATGGTGGTTATTGTAAATTATAATTCCTACTCATTGTTCCTCAGCCTGCCTGCTTCCTCACATGATTGGTGAGCATAAAAATGTAGGCTAAATCACCATTTATTGATGGCCTGAGTCCTTTGGAAGAAGATTACTATTGGAAAACATGAGATATCAATAGAGAACAAGCAAGAGGAATTAGCTATCTTGTGTAACTAAAACAGAAGCCAAATTCCAGCTTTCAGCAGGTTTATCTGAATATTTTGGGAAGCCAAAACAGCCCAATTATTCAGATTAAATTGACATTACTGCATCCCTGTTCATTTTCCATAATTTCGGGGATGTTTGGTCTGTTCCTTATTAGACATCTTCTCATTTTCTGGCTTCCTTGCATTTTTGTTTTGTTTTTCTTTCCTTTAGGCAAATTATGTATAGATGTATGTGTACAAGCATGAAGTATAAATGCCTTTATTATATGATTAGCAATGGATACATTTGGTCACTGCAAGCCAGCTTGATCTAGCAGTTAAGGTGAAAATCCAAATTCTAGTCATGCCTTAGGCACAAAGACAGCTGGGTAACTTTGGGCAAGTCACTCTCTCAGCAGAAGGCTATAACAAACTACTGCTGAAAAAAACGTTGCCAAAAGGATTGCATGGACTTGTCCAGAAGTTGCCATGACTGGAATGAATGAATGAATGCTTATGGAGCATTTCAGACTTTAAAACTGGTCTTTTTCATCTTTCTGCAGGATAAAGAAGGAGCTTTCATGGTGAGAGACTCAAGGCAGCCTGGCACCTATACAGTCTCTGTCTTCACAAAAGCATTAAAGTAAGCAAGATCTTAGGAAAGATGGCATTTTTTTAAAAAAAAATCATTTTAATACAAAAAATAATATTCAATAAAACTTTGTCAGGCATTGGAAATAAAAAAATAATTTACTGTAATATACGGCTTCTTCGTGACATCTTTTGGAGAACCTTCTCTTCACAATGGTAATTCATCTTCATCTTGTTTTTGCACAATTATTGTGGCAAATGCCTTTTAGCATAATTTCATATTTCAAAATAAAGTAAAAATAGATGTTATCTCTAATACTCTGACTTTGTTATTAATACACTTTCTAATAAATGATGTGCTAAAGGTCTGCAATTGGAATATACTACTATTACTAGGCTATTGGTATTCTTCCTGCCCTCTGGATTATTCATTTGCTCTGCTCTGCTTGTCTACTGCTTATTCCTTAAGAATCTGGGCAGCTAAGAGTGTCAACATATAAAAAAAATGACCCCCTAATCCCAAATGCATTTAAAAGAGCATGAAGAAATAAAAACCAAAAGATACAAATGTCCTGCACCAGTGAACTCTACTTACAATTCATAAACAGGTAGGGTTTTTTCCCCACAATATTCCTAAAGCCCAAGAAAGATCAAGGTAATCAAACCTGCCAAAGAGTTTCAAGGAGTGTCAATGACAATTCAAAATGGACCCCCTTCAAAGGCCTCATCAGGTGATAGTCCTTGAGTGATGGCACCTGGGAAGAGTTGACATTTGATCTGACTAACTGATGGATGAATATAGGAGATTATCACTCAGATAAGCATACATTTGTTTTCAACATTAATTTCTCAACACTAACAGAAGGCAGAACAGAATTTTGGTGTTGCTACAACAATAAACAACTTACACAAAAACTTCCTTTTTACAACTGTATAATCCCTTAATTTGGGAGTAGGGTTGGGGCGACTGGATGGAACTAATCATTCACATGGCCAGATACCCTTCCTGACACCTATATGGAGTTTGCAGCAGATATTTTTTCTTTGTGCTCTAGGAAAGAAACATCTACCATTACCTGGGATTGAACTCTCAACCTTCCATTTGGGAGGCAAGTGTCTTCACCACTAGGCCACCACACTGCTCAATAAACAATTTACACATTTCCCTAAAAATTAATTGTCAGAATTATTGATTCATAAAATAATAATCTCAGCAAACAAAATTGTATGTTTCTATCTCTTCTGACTATTTATATAGTCTTCATATTTTTGATAAAATAATAGAATATGATACCATTAATGTATTCATTTCATTAAAAGTTCTTTAATCTTTCCAAAGTCGAAGCTTGATAGTTTTAGTCTAAATAAATAATTACAGTTTTTATCTTCTGTATTGTTTTCATTTTCCTAAAGATGTAAAGTCTGGCTTTTCAGAGACATTTAATAATTCCCAATAGATTTTCTACACAGATCCTTTGGTGTTTTCCCCTAATTCCAAGATTATTCTTTCAAAATCAGAGGAAAAGATAAAAGGATATTTGTTTTATATCTTCATTTTGAATCATTGCTCATTTTGCCCTACTTGGAAGTTTTAGTAGTTTTTACATTATTTTAAAGAGGCATATTTGCTGTCTTTTTAGCAACGACAACAGCCCTGTTATAAAGCATTATCACATCAAGGAGACCAATGACAAGCCCAAGAAGTATTACCTGGCAGAGAAACATATTTTTGATTATATCCCGGAACTGATCAATTACCACCAGTATAATGCAGGAGGTAAGTTGAGACAAGAAAGGTAAGAAGATGCAGATAATTTAAGTCTAAGATTCTAACATCTTAAAAATGGAAGGAAAAATTACCCTGACATCTGATGTTTTAAATAATTCCTTATTGGCAAAGCTCTTGTGATAAATTAATATCATTTTGCTTAGTATCATAAAATGCTGAATGTTTCCTGAATTCTGGATCTCTTTTGCAGGAAGCCTGTATTTGCCTTCTCTTTATATGTGCTCCTATGAAGTATAACTTTGAATTATATTGAAGAGAAAGATTCTATATAAATAAATGACAATTCTTTGCCTTTCTGAATATTCTGGGAGAAATTTCATATAAAAAATGAAATGGCTATATTGCGTATTCAAAACTTCACAGACCTTCCTGAAAATTTTCACATAATAGGAAAACTGTTTTGGTATACTTTATTGAAGTGTCACATTAGTAACTTCTTATTTCTATATTTGACTCTGAAATACATTCTTATAGTATATCTCCATAATTCTATTTTTATGGCCATCATCTTTTCTAAGCTACCAAAAGCTGGCACTTATGAGTGGTCCTTGGTGATGTCCAAGATTGGTTATTTTCTTGCAAACATCACTGTACATCAGTAGCACTGATGAAGTTACCTAGTTTGGCTAATGAAATGTCTGCAATGAAAACAACCAAGCTCAGAGAGCACCAAGGAAACCTCATTTCAATCCTGAGTTAAAAATATTCTCCTTTATTGGTACTGACTCTTACTTTTGAGGTTTTTTTTAATGTATTTGTACATTTCTTCAAAACACAGGTCTTGTTACTCGATTGAGATATGCTGTCTCCTCCTGGAGAGAAAAAGCTCCTGTTACAGCCGGATTAAGTTATGGTAAGTAAACTAGATGTTTTGTTAAAGGGGCTTGTAATTTTTTGGTTTTGAGACAAAATGGAAGTGAAACTCACACTTCCTTTCTTTAAAATTTAAATAAGGGTAAATAAGGCAATCACAAATTCTCTTTGTTTCTGTGAATGGGAGTAAGAGTGTGGAGTATTAGAGGAGGAAATGATTACATGAAGGATTCCTAACTAAGTTCTTTCCACATACACAAACACTGGCACTACTGATTATATATCAATTATTATTTATTGGACAAAAGCAAGGTTGTTTTTCTTTTGTTTTTTCCTAGGTAAATGGATTATTAGTCCACAAGAACTAACATTTGAACAGGAGATCGGTGTTGGCGAGTTTGGGGTGGTTCATCTTGGTTACTGGCTTGATCGGATGAAAGTGGCTATAAAGACAATTCGCACAGGAACAATGTCAGAAGAAGACTTTATTGAAGAGGCCCAAGTCATGATGTAAGCAGTAAAAATACCTACTTAACTCCCATTTTATTTATACGATGAATAATGCAATGACATGAATTTTAATCACTTTAGGTGGCTTACATTATTATTTATTTTAAATAATTTTGATAAGCAGGACCACAAAGTTTTTTTTATTATTATTTTTATAATTAAACTTAGAATCTTCTTCCAACTTATTCAAAGCAACACTGAATGTTTTGCATCACAGATGAAATTAAAAGATATGATTTGGTCGACACATCTCTTCTATAAATATTTACTAGAAAATTAGACTTATCAAATGAATGTCGTTGTCTACAGTTATGTGCCGATGTTTGTATGAATGAGTATTAGCAAATGCAGAGTGCTTCTTAGTCTCAAGCTGACAACAGGCATTTTTAACATTAGGCAATTCTAATGGCATAAAGCTTCTAAAGCAATGTGCATTAAATAACAGTAGTCAGTTTTTGGTTTGTTTGAATGTTCCTTTATACTTCAGAATTTTTGCTATGTACTATTTTTGAAGTAGTAAATAGTTTCTATCATTGGTACACACAAAGAAACTTTTAAAATATGACTGCTTTGTGATTTTAAAAAATCTTACTTACACTGTTTTGCTATTTCTCACAAACATGACTGTTTCCCAAACATGATTGGGATATTTCTTGTAGAAGCTGTATTGCTACAAGTTCTACAGAATCTAATCTCTAATACTATTTTTAATTAGATTTTAAGAAAATTATTTTTCTTTGAGGTGAGCTTTATTCCTGATGATTTTATGGACACATATTTAACAAGATTCTTATTTTTCAGAAAATAAAAAATGTCAATGGAATTTTTTCTGTGTGAAGGGAGTAATTTCACAATTGGTTTCCATTTCAAGAATTATCCATAATGAATGAGGGAAATGTAGCCTGGTTTCTTTATTTCTTAGCATATCCATCATATATCTGGGTTTCTTCTTTTGTGGTATTCTTCCTTATTTTCTGTTGAAAATTTCTATCTGGTTTATCTTTTTGCATCATCAGGAAAGTATCTCATCCCAAATTGGTCCAGTTACATGGGGTATGCATGCAAAATTCTCCTATATGTTTAGTATTTGAGTTCATGGAGTTTGGATGTTTATCTGATTACCTGAAAAGGCAACGTGGAAGCTTATCAAAGGAAGACCTTCTCGGAATGTGTCAAGATGTTAGTGAGGGAATGGCTTACCTTGAGGAGGCATCTGTCATTCATAGAGATCTGGTATGTTTGAATCACATCTGGTTTCCCTGTAAATAAATCTATAAGATAAAAAGTCAGCATAAAAATGAAATTACACCATTATCTTTAAATTTTAACGTAAGAAGACTTTCAGTGTTTGGACAGACAATGTACAACAGTGGAGATTGTGCAATATTTCTGATTATTCCTTCTATGTGAGAGTATTCAATTTTTTATTGATTTTGTCTGATTTTGTAGTGCCCACTAGTTTTTGATGTGAAGTAAATTTAATGTCTTTGTGGTTTGCTAATTTCTTATTGTTATTGGGTATGATATCATATATTATATCACACCAAGGTTCTTTCTGCTGAGCCTAGATGGAGGGGATTATAAAGGATTGGATAGAAAAAAACAGGTTCAGAGTCAACCTTCATAAAATTGAGTCCCTGTGGATTATGGGACTTCCTGGATCTAGAGATTTTCCATCTTTGGTTCAGGATGGGATAGCATTGTCTCAAACAAAGCCAGAGCTACATTTACAGAATCTTCTAGAGTCATGGCTGCTACTCAAAAAGCAGATGGCAGCCATGAATTAGAGGGCCTTTGCACAGCTTCATTTTATGTACCAATTGTACCCACCCCTGGATCAGTATGCCCTGTTCATGGTCATTCATATCCTGATCACTCATGAAATTCATTTTTTTTCTGTTTGCCAGAAGTTCATAAAGGGTTTTCAGTCAGCAATAAATGTGGGTATTGTACAATGTGGCTCATATTTTCTCTACAAATATATTCTTTCTTTTCTTTCCCACAGGCTGCTCGGAACTGTTTGGTGGGCGAATTTCAAGTTGTCAAAGTGTCAGATTTTGGAATGTCACGGTAATATAGGTTTCTTATACATTATTAGCCCTATGGTTGATAAGTGGAAATCTACTACAGTTTTTGAATTATATCCAACCTAACCCAATTAAAATTTATTGGATTGGCAAATGCTTCTAAAGCTCAACTCTGCTCCGTTTCTGCTGCAATTTCTTTAACCTACTCCTTTCTTGACAGCCAGCTTAAGAGAACTAAAGGATCTCAATGCATTTTTGTATTAGTTTATCATTTGAATTTTCCCACTGTTCACCTTTGCAAATCTGTAACTTGTATGAATGAAGTCAGTAAGGTTCAT